GGTCAAAGGGCATACGTGGTTTTACAGTTCTTTGGGCATAGTTCCAAATTGGTCTACAGAATGGTTGAATCAGTTCACAACTCCAGCCCCAGTGCATTAATTAACCCTAGCTCCTTTCCCTTTAGAATATCACATTCCAAGCCCTCTGATCCTTTAATGTAGGAGCAGCTAAATCTTGTGTTATTTGATGTGCTCTATGACACTTGAATTGTTTCTTTCTGGCTGCTTGCAATATTTTCTCTTCACCTGGGAGCTCTGGAATTTGGCTATACAATATTCCTGTGTATTTTCATTTTGGGATCCCTTTCAGGAGGAGATCAGTGGATTCTTTCAATTTCTATTTTACCCTCTGGTTCTAGAATATCAGGGCAGTTTTCCTTGATAATTTTTTGAAAGTGATGTCTAGGCTCTTTTTTTGATCATGGCTTTCAGGTAATCCAATAAATTTTAAATTATCTCTCCTGGATCTTTTCTTGATCAGTTGTTTTTCCAGTGAAATTTCACATTGTCTTCTTTTTTTCATTCTTTTGATTTTGTTGTATTGTTTCTTGATTTCTCATAAAGACATTACCTTCCAGTTGTTCCATTCTAATTTTTAAGGAATTAATTTCTTCAGTGATCTTTTGGACTTCCTTTTCCATTTGTCCGATTCTCCTTTTTAAACCATTCTTCTCCTCATCGGGTATTTGGATCTCTTTTACCATTTGGCCTTCAATATTCTTTGTATCTCTTTCACCACACTGTTGACTTGTTTTTAGCAATTTTCTTACATCACTGTCATTTTTTTCTCAATTTTTCCTTTACCTCTCTTGCTAGATTTTCAAAATCCTTTCTGAGCTCTTCCATGGCCTCAAACCAATTCATATTTTTTTCTTCGAGGCTTGAATGTGAGATCTTCCACTTTGTTTTCTTCTGCTGAGCATGTGTTTTGATCTTCCTTGTCACATAGTAACTTTCAATACTCAGAGGTTTCTGTTTTTCATTCTTTGCTCATTTTCCCAGCCCATTAGTTGACTTTTAACTCTTTGTTCATGTAGGGCTCTGCTTCCTGGGTGGAGGGTGCACTGTCCTAAGTTTCAGGGGTTTTGTGCAGCTGTTTTCAGAGATACTTCTAGGTACCTGTAAGTTTTCAGTTCTTCCAAGGTGGTATGATGTAAGGAAAGAAGTGTACCACTTTCCTGGTCTGTGCTCTGGTCTGTGAACATCCACTAGCCCTCTTTTCTGCCCTGAAACTGTGAGGAGAGCTCCCCCTCCACTGTGGCCACAAGCTCTGCAATGGTAGTGCTCTTCCCCACCTGGGACTGCCACCCAGGATCAAGCCCTGGATCCAAGTAAAGGGAAAAAAGACAGCAGAATTCTGCCCCCGGGCTAGCAAAAAAACATCCCTGTAATTTCCTTCTGATTTGTTATTTGACACCCCCCACCTCTTTCTGGGCTCAGCTGTGGAAGAAGCCACTGCCAGTGCGGCCACTGATTCAGTCACTTACAAGGCCTCTGAAGGCAAATTCCTGGTTTGCTGGGCCGGATCTGGGCTGGTGTGGCCTATACTGTGCTGCACTCCTCTCTCACCGGTGCAATAGACCTTTCCTGCCAAACTTCCAAGTTGTCTTGGGCTGGAAGTTTGTTTTCTCTGTCTTTTGGTGGGTTCTGTTGCTCTAGAATTTGTTTAGAGTCATTTTAAAAAAAGGTATTTGGTGGTGTTTGGGAGGGAGCTCAAGTGAGTCCCTCCCTATACTCTACCATTGTGGCTCCACCATCTTGGCTCCACCTTGGCAAAGCCTGTTGATACCTATTTTGCTGCCATCTTCTCTCTCAAGAAGAATGTTCTTCAAAGTAAAGAATGAACAAGTATGGTTAAGAAGGCAATTAAGCCTGACAGAGTTGAAGAGAAGAAATAACATCTGAGCCCTTTAACATGAGGTCAAGCCTACTGACAATCTGATCTCCACCACAACCTCCTCTCAGGTTGAATTTGGAGATTTGCCCTCCTTGCTAAACACACACTCATGGGCCAACAGAAATTTGATTGTTGACAGCCCATGACCCCAACAAAATGAGCTGGACAAAAGCCTTCCCTATTCCCATTCTCCTTATGTAATTTAGTGCCAGTTTAGGGTCAGGGACAGAGTCTAAAACAAACAAAAAACAACATAATAACCTCTTGATTGCTAAACTAATCAGAGTTAATGGAAAAAAATCCTGTTTGCCTACAAGGACTAAATGTTTATTGGCTGGGCATTCCCACCCCTTTTCTACCAATGATGATAAAAGTCTGCCATCTGAGCTGATACCTCTGAGAGTTGTAGGACCATCTGTCAGGAATGGATCCTTGGGGACTCACCTCTACTGCCCTACTGACTTGTGTTCTTTTGCTTTTTGTTTCTATGAGACAAGGATTCAAAAGGAGGAAGCTTCCCCAGGTCCCATTCCTCTTCCCATTATTGGCAACATCCTGCAATTGGTTTGAAGAACATGCCTGAATCGTTATCTAAGGTAAAGGGACTGGATTGGGTTTGGATCTGGCTGCTTGGGCTGTAGGAGGAGACACAAAGTCTTCAAATAGATAACTGAATCAAGACTCATGGTGATTTAGAATCCTATGTCATGGATGGTGTGAGTCAAGGGCTCTATGAGTGATATCTCCATTAGCAATGATGTTAGGCAAGCAATAGTTGTTTTGCCAAAACTTTGGTAACAGCAGAAGAAATTAAATTACAGAACCAAATATTGGCCCCTTGCAATGCATCATACTAGGCTCTGTGAATACAAAGACAAAAACTAATCATTCAATTAATGAGAACTTCTTCATTAACTTCCATGTGCCAGGCACTGTGCCAGACAGAGAGAAACATGTGGTTAATGCAATCTCTCCTTGAAAAGAAAATAGTTCGGGGCAGGACCTGAGTTCAGATCCAGCATCAGACCAAACACTTCACACTTACTAGCTGTGTGACCCAGGGCAAGTCCCTTAACCCCAATTGCTTAAAAAAAGAAAAAAGAAAAGACAAAAAAAGAAAAGAAAATAGTTCCTGTCCTCCAGGAGCTTATGTTTTACTAGAGGGATACAAAAAATTCATAGATAACCAAGTAGAAGGTAACTAGAGGACAGATAAAGCATTTGTAAGTGGGGCAGTCAAAAAGTTTCAAGTAGGAGAGAACTCCTGAGCAGGATGCTGAGGGAAGTAACAGATTCTTATTGGAAGAGAGAATGGGAATAAATTCCAGGCATGGTAGACAGTCTGGGCAAAGGCAAGGAGGTTGGAGATAATATAGATAAGAGGACATGGCAAGAATGTGAAGTGTGGGATGAGGGGCCATACAAAATCAATTTAGACAATTGGGTTGGAGGCAGCTGTAGTAAGTGCCAAGTCCCTGCAGACTTTTGAGTAGAGGAATGGCACATTCAGAACTGTGCCACAGGAATAGTAAGTTGTTAGTTGTGCAGATTATTCATTGCAAAGGAGAAATACTAGAAGCAGAGGATTGAACTTGGAAGCCATTGAAAGAATGGATAAAATATCATTTATGAAGTACCTACTATGTGCTCACTATTGTGGAGACAATATAGAGTAAGATATTTTAGATGCATGTCAGTTGCAAAGGCGTTGTGCTTCTTAGGGAAAATTAACAAATTAGTCAGTTGTTTAGTAACTGGTAGTGGTGAAGGTGAGGAAGGTGGGGCCCTTCTCTACAGTGACTGCTCCTCATTGAAAGGATGAGTGTTTGGCCTGGACTGAAAGCAGAGCCTAGGTGTAAGGGCAGGAGTCATTGACATGAAAAGGTCAATTACAAAGGCTCTTGAGTAATGGTCCTGGGTCATTTCAGTTATTTTCCAAGGGAATTTGGTGGTAGTTTGATTTTTTCTTTCTTCCCATTCCTTTTTCTCTTTCCCTCAGGGTGATTTATTAGAGTGACTAGTTTGTGTGTATATACAGTAGTGTAGAAGGGAAGGGATGAGGGTCTTAACTAGTTTAATGGACAAGTGAGGAGGCAAGATGGAATAGGTGTGGGAGACATGAAGATGAATTCTACCAGACTTGACCATAGCTAATTGGACATAAGTAAAATGAAAAGTCAAATATAAATCCATGGCCTTAAATCAGGGTTGATGTAGGTTCCTCTAAGAGAAGTCTGCCTCTTTCCTAAATGGGTAAGTTTGGAGGAAAGGGTAGTTTTAGGGAAAACAAATGAGTTGTGTTGTGGACATATTAAGTTTGCAATGCCAATAGGACATCCAGGTTGAGAAATCCATTTCTAAGCAGTTGGCTATGTGGAGTTGAAAATGAATTGGGAATCTCTGCTTATAAATAATCATTGAAGCCGGAAGTGCTATGATCAAGAAATTGTAATAGCCTCTTGCCTGCGTACATGAACTCATGCATATGGCATTATGAAGCAGTTGTGAGGAGAAATTCTCACTTTCTAAAGTTTCACACTGAATTCATCCTGTTCTTGGCATTTTCACAGCTGGCTGAAAAATATGGCCCCATCTATACTCTTCATATTGGAACCGGCGTGTTGTGCTGCTATATATATGAGGAATCTGATTGGAGATTTTATGGATAGAGACTCTTACCAATGTTTGGAGATGTAGCCAAAGGACATGGTAAGTTTAGTTTTCTGAAAAGAGTCACAGAAAAGCAAAATGTATGGCAAAGTATCTCCAGTAGAACGTCGTCCTCTGGAACATAGTTTTCTATTCTCAGTACCTAGCAGAAGACCTTTGTAGTAGTACCTGGTACCTGCCATTCTGTCATTGTATTTTAGTTTGAAGTGAATAAAATTAAACTTGATCAATGAACTAAGCCAGAAACTCCATAGCCATCACACTGTGCCCTCCCCTTCCAATGTAAGAAACCCAATGTCCTCTTGTCTTCTACCTAGGAATTACTTTCAGTAGTGGAGAGAGTGGAAACAACACCGCAGATTTACCCTGACGACCCTAAGGAACTTTGGGATGGGAAGAGAAGTGTTGAAAGAGCGAGTTCAAGAAGAAGCCAATGCCTGGTGGAGGAGCTCAGGAAAACAAAGGTTGGTTTTCAGTTCTTTCTTCCTGGGCATGTAGGGTCCAACTGCCTACTCCCAGTCCTAAATGCTATTTGCTTTGGGAATCATTTTAAAAGTCTCTTCCTTCATCTACTTACCAGATAATAACTCTGCCGGGTCAGAAAACTCTCTTTTTTTCTTGTGCTCAGGCATTATAAGTTTATCTAGCCTCCCTATAAGTAAAGACATCGTCCAGGAGAATAATATTCATTAGCCTTTAAAGAACTAAGCACCCTATCTAAGTATGATGTCCATATCCCATCTGATTGGAAACATTTCTATTAAAGTTGCTTTTTCCCCCCTTTGGTAACTTGTCTCCACATTAGGTCAGCCACTGATCCCACCTTCATCCTTAGCTGTGCACCATGCAATGTGATCTGCTCTATCCTCTTCCGTGACCGATTCAAGTACAATTATCTGATGAACTTGTTAAATGAAAACTTCCGCCTCGTTAATGAACCATGGATACAGGTAAGGCCAGAACTCTCTTCTTATTCTGTGGTTGTTTGCTGAGTTTCAGCAACAAGATCAAATATATGCCTCTATCTTAGCCAAGGTCCCAACGTTCATGAGAACACACACACACACATTCACACCACACATGTCACTCAAGGACAATAACATCACGCAATATCTTTGGCTCTCAAATAAGATATTAGGTAGATATCCTGTTCCTAGTTGGCACCTGCACTAGTTGTAGATTAAAATTGAAGTTATATGGAGAAGTGTTTGACTGGCGCCTGGGGTATCTCTTCACAGATGTGACCAAGTAAAAGAGTTATAAAAAAGAACCTGCCCAGGATATCCAGGAGAGAATAGGAAGGGCAAGCCACTTAGATGAGTACCTACACTGATTCTGGTGGTGATCTGGCTCTGCCTCTACAATGGATGGACATGTAGGATCAAAACCTTCATCCACTGAAGCCAGAACTGAAGATCCTCATCCAGCTGAAAAACAGCTTTCTTTTCCTTTGCCTATGTTCTGTTCCAGTTACATTCTGGAATATGTACTTACAGTCTGGAATAGGTACTCTAGCTAAACCCTTCTGTGGTAGAACGTAAATTTTTTGAGGATGAAGACTGCTTCATTGTTGTCTATAGCACCATAGCCTAGGACTTGGTTCATAGCGAGTACGGAAAAAATGCTTGATGCATTTTATTAACTTAACGTGAATTGAACTGAATTAATTGCATACCTTGGTGCCTGTTTATCTTCTTTTTTTTTTTCAAGTTGGCCATTCGAAGGCAAGTAGATTTCCCCTTAACTCAAATATGAGCTTCTTTTGAACAACGACAAAATATTATGCCATCTGGTCACCTCAGTGGGTAGCACAGCACCAGATAGATTAGTTTTGAGATATTTGACAACTTAAGGTTAGATTTGAGAGGATTTATGAACCTATTGACAAGGTGGGGATTTGTTTTGCCTCATTATGTGTATTTTCTTGGATGGTTTTGTTTTTCTTTTTTGTTTGTACCAATGTGCAGTGAAGATGAGACAGAAAATATATTTTGTCAATGAAAAATTTAATTTAAAATTTAAAAAAAATGGAATCTCTAATTTATAATGAGAGATTTTAAATAGTTTCTTCATGACAGTAAATTCACATGTGTTTGTTTTGGTTTGGGGTGTGTGTATGCAGCTCTACAACTTTTTACCAGCATTCGGAACATACCTCCCTGGAGAGCACAAAAGAATTTTTAACATTAATGAGGAACTTAAAGATTTCATTTTGGAAAGAGTGAAAGAGCATCAGAAGGTCCTGGACCCCAACAACCTCAGACACATTGACTGCTACCTCTCCAAAATGCAGCAGGTAAGATGCATGGGAAGCACCTTACTTGTTGAGTAAGGCTGATATTCCAAGGATTCTTACAGGCCACAAGCACAGGAAGGGACATGAGAGAACCTCAAAGTACCCACATCCCCCAAGGATGCCACTGGCTTTCTAGTAACTGGTCTTTGTCTGCTCGTATCCCTTATCTGAAGTCTGTATGGAAAAATGAGATTGGAAGAGTTCTGCTTTTCTGGGTGATGAGCTGGTGATCTGACTTTCTGTTTGGAAGGGGATATTGTATTGGAGAGTGATAATAGGAATCAACTAATAAATATTTACCAAGCAACTACTATATGCCAGGCACTCCGCTTAGTGCCAAAGACACAAAAGAGGCAAAAGACAGCCCCTGCCCTCAAAGAGTTCACAGTCTTATGGGGGAGATTATATATAACAAATGTGTACAAAGTAAGCTCTAAACAGGAGAAATGGGATGCAGAGCAGGGCTTGGAGTCAAAAGACTTGAGTCAGAGCCAAATTCAGACACTTCTTAGCTGTGTAATCCTGGGTAAGTCATAATCCTCATTTGTAAAATGGGGATAATAGCATTTGTCTCCCAGAATGGTCAGTAAGATAACGTTTCTAAAGGACGTGGTGAACTTTTAAACATTATACAAATACTAGCTCAAAATCTAGCTATAATTTTCTCTTATAAAATCACTCAAAATTAATTAGTTTCAGGAAGGGAACAGTATTAATTTGCCTCACAGAAAAATGAAGATTGATAAAAGCCTCCCAGAAACCCACAAACCTATTCAGAAAACAAATAAAGCACTTACGGTATCTCATAATCTCCCCAGCTCAGAGTTGTCATCAGGACATCAGCCCAACATTCTACTTAATCCTTAACTGTCCTCCAGTCCTACATGGTTCCACTCAGACTGATACAGGAAGCTAGGTTGTGGTATGGATAGAGTGCCAAGCCTGAAGTCCAAAAGACTTGTGTTCAAATCTGGAGTCACACATGGTATAGTATAGTATAGTAGAGTATATTATAGTATAGCAAAGCATAGTATCGTATAGTATGGTATAGTATGGTATGGTATGGTATGGCATGGCATGGCATAGCATAGCATAGCATAGCATAGCATAGTATACTATAGTATAGTATAGTATAGTATAGTATAGTATAGTATAATACAGTATAGTATTAATGTAATATAGTATAGCATAGTTTAGTATAATACAGTATAGTATTAATATAATATAGTATAATATAATATAATATAATATAATATAATATAATATAATATAATATAATATAATATAATATAATATAATATAATATAATATAATATGACATAATATGACATAATATGACATAATGTGACATAATGTGACATAATGTGACATAATGTGACATAATGTGACATAATGTGACATAATGTAATATAATGTAATATTATATAATATGATATAATATGATATAATATGATATAATATAATATGATATAATATCACATAATATCATATAATATCATATAGTATAGTGTATAGTATAACTCTGAGCAAGTCACTTAACCTCTGTCTTCCTTCATTTCTTCAGTTGCAAGATGGATATAATAATCTCGACCCCTATGATCATTGTAAAGATCAAATGAAATACTATTTGTAAGGTGCTTAGCACATTTAGATGCTTCATAAATACTTCTTTCCTGCCTTCTTGTAGAGTCTAAATCAGGGGTGGGGAGCCTGCGGCCTTCAGGCCACATGTGGCCTTCTAATTTTACAGAACAAATCTAAAATTTGGATTCAGTGAAAAGGCCACACTTAAGGATCTAGAAGGCTACATGTGGCCTGACATCTGCAGGCTCCCCATCCCTGCAATCAATGCATTAAACAGCCCCTAGAAGGAAAACTGGGTTTGGGAACATTAAACAATGTGGAAGAAGATCTTTCTTGATTGCCCAAGTAAGTCATGAGAATTCAGGGCTGGAGGTGGGGAGGAGAGAGTAAATGTGTTCTCTACCCCCAACACCATCATGGCAGTGTCATGAACTCTTTCCTCTCTGTATTCACATCATAACCACTTTAGTTCAGACCACCAGCATCTCTTACACAGACAATGACAATTCTCTCCTACCAGCTCTCCAAGCATCCAGACCCTCAATCCATTCTTCACAAATCTGCCAAGTAAACATGCATAAAGTGCAAGACTCTCTGGGTTATTCCCATGATAGAAGCTTCAGGGCTCCTAAGAGAAAACACTAACTCATGTATTTGGCATTTAAAGCCCTTCACAATTTGGCTGCAGCCTCTCTTTATTGGCTGGTTACACATTCTTCCCTCTCACAGCCTCCCTCTTTGCTCCAGCCAAGCTGCCCTGCTTGCTCTTCTTTGTACACAATATTCCATCTTTTGCCTCTTTACCTTTATACAGTCTGGCCCCCTCCCTGGAATGCTCTCACTCTCTTTGCTCAACTCTTAGCAGCCCTAATATCCGTTCACACTCAGCTGCTACCTCTTTCAAGTAGCCTTCTCTTATTCTTCCTGTTGTTAATATCCCACCCCCAAATCTCTGTGTATTTATTTTCCATGGATCCCATGTGTACTTATATTTGTATGTATTGTATTCCTTCAGTAGAATCGAAACTCCCAGAGGGTAGGGGCTGTCTTAGTTTTATCCTATGCTTTTGTATCGCCATTACCTGGCATTCTGCTTGGCACAGAAAATACATTTGATACTTCCTTGTTGATTGACTGATTTCATATACTGACAAAAGTAAACACGACAGAACCAGGCGTACATCATTGAACTGTTCACTAGAGACTTTCTTCAGGTTGAAATGAAAAGGTATCCTTAAGAACTTTTTAACATCCTTCCTCGATATATTGCCACTCTGTTTCTATTGCCTCTGCAATTTTTCAGTTTTTTTCCAGGGGCCCTGGGCCAATGGGAGATTTTTTAAAAATAGTGCTAAGCTGACATAAAAGCATGAGAGTATTGATTCCATTGCTTTATCTTTTCTCATTAATTTATTTACTTTATGCTTGTCTGGTTTGAAGTTTTCCAGCTCAAATAATTGACTCATCTTGAGTTTCTGTTTTTCAGGAAATGCCTGAAATCCACCCTTTATTCTTGAAGTCCATCTTCTTTTACCAAATATTTATTTTCTCCCACCAAATGAAAAAAGACAAATAATAACCTTCTTAACAAACAAGCATGATCAAGAAAAATACATTTCTATATTGGCCATGTCCAAAAATGTGTCCCTTTCTACCTACTAGTCCATGAATTCTCTCTCAGAAGGCAGGTACCATTCTTCATCATTAGTCCTCTGTGCTCATGTTTGCTAGTTGAATTGACATGAGTTCATAAATCTTTCAAAATTGTTCATTTTTACAAGATTGATGGCTGTAAGTCCATCTTATATTATTCAGGGTGAAGCTTGTATTTGCATTATTACTTATTTAATACTGTAACTTGATCTGCTTTGATTTTAATATTACTGTTTCACCTTTGTAGGCCTCAAGTTCTTTTTCTTCAAAATGAATGTGCTTGGCCAGTTGATCTCCAAGATGTGTCCTAGCTATAAATCCTAGGAGCTTGCGTATTTCATAGAATTTCATAGAATCTGTGGGTTGGAAGAAGTCTTAGCAGCCACCTAATTTTAAGGGCTGTCCCAGAAAAGGGTTAGAATTCCTTTGGTTCCTCATTTCCCAGAAGGCAGAACTCACAGCAGTCATTTGAAGTTAGAGAGACACATTTAATCTCCACACAAGGGGATAATGTCCAAGATGTAATAAATTTCTTCATTAAGTAATAAATTCCCCATGTTCGGAAGTCTTCAATGTGGGGCTGGCTGACCACTTAAGGGAGATTTTGAAAAGGAAACTTCTGATCAGTTACAGATTGGCTGGTTGAATTTCCGTCTCCCTACAAAATTTGAAATTCTGTATTCTTCTGCCCCAAGACTTTTCTCTCAGTTCCCTGTTCTGAAAATCTGAAATCCCTTCTTTTTTTTTTTTAAACTAAAATGCTGTCCTGCTTTGTAGTAAAAGTATCTGCATGCGAGGTCTCTTAGCTGGTTATAAACTTTTTAAGTGAATTACTTTATCAGGTCCTCACCATGCCACATATATCATAGATAATAAATAGAGAGCTGAAAGGATCCAGCTCTCTCCTGTTAACATATGAGGAAACTGAGGCCCAGAAAAATTAAATGACTTTCCCATGGACACAGACCCCTTAGCTGAGAATAAAGTTTAATTCAGATCTTCCTGATTCAAGGCCTAGTGCTCTATTCACTATGTCATGTTTCTGGATGGGAAGAAGGTTGCCTAGGAAAGGTAAGCCTGTGGATGAACAGGGGAAACCTAAGAGCATTAGGAAGGTTATTCTGTTTAAGAGTGGGGAAATGAAGGTGGGGGAGGGCTCCTAAGACAAACTTTAAGAACTTCACATGGTTACTAATGGCTTTCCCTGCTGTCTCTCATTACTTAATCTATTTTGTATCTCTCCTTTAGGAGAAAGATAATCCCCAGTCTCAATTTGACTTGGAAAATCTAAAAGTGATAGGAAGAGATTTATTTACTGCAGGAACAGTGACAACGCACAGCACCGTAAGATATGGCCTGCTGCTCATTCTGAAACATCCTGAGGTCCAAGGTAAAGTACAGGAATTGCCATGCTTTCAGACCAGGCTTGCTTTCCCATCCCTGCAGCTTGCTCAGGAGCTGGCCTCTGCTTTCCCCCTATTGGATTTGCATGACTTCCTCACAGATCAGCAACAGGTCAGACAGCAGCATATTGAAGAAAACAGGACCCCTAAACAAGACCTGTTTGTTATTTAAGCATGTGGCGGTGTATTATGGGGAATTCAATTCACTTTAAACAGCACATATAAAGCTCCCACTGTGCACCCTCAGTTCTATGCTTAGCATATAAAGACTCAAATGAAACACCCCTTTCCTCAAATGGCTTGCCTTCTGCCAGGCATACTACTGCTGGATCTAAGGAGGCAGAAGTAGGAACCATAGGTAGACCTTACAAATTGACAGATGGAGACTTCATGTAAGGAAAGACTTACCAACTATTAAAATTCTCCAGGAAGTCCATTCAGCTGTGCAGGAAATAGTGAGTTCTTGCTTACTAGAGATTCTCAAGCAAAGGCTGGTTGACCCTTTGTTCAATCCATTAGAGTCAGGATTCCTGTTCAGCTATGGATGGCCCTAGGTGAAAACATGTCACCTGTAATGCTGAGATTCTATGCCTCAGCAGCTCAGGGTATTGAGACAGGAGCTGAGATACACAGCTGGTGAATGGTTTAAATCAAGATGATAATGCCATCACCAGCACTATCAAATTCAAATGAAGGCATCTACTTGCTTTGAAAACAAAAGCTGGCATAATAATCATAAAGAATGTGAGGGTTACAAATAACTTGACATGTAATTTCATTTGATGTCTGCTAATGGAGGTGCTGTTTTTAATCTCCATTTTATAAATCATACAATAATAGGGTTAGAGGAGTAAGGTACCTGAGAAGACAGATAATTTATGATCCTCGTTTTTCAGATAAACAAAATGAGGCTTACATAGATTTAATGACTTGCCTGAATTTACACAGGTAGTGTCTAAAGAGAAATGTAAACACAATTCTTTCTGACTCCCATCCAGTAAATCATGGAAGTTTATCCTATTGCTGTTACGGAAGCCTTTGTATCCTTGACTGAGTAGGAGGAGGACACTGAGCCCATGTGAGAATCATCTTAGGTCATAACAATGGGCAGATATTCCACACAGGCTCAATTGAGCATTCCCAGGAGAGTGGAACATTGAGTGGTGATTTGTATTTTTTGTCTCTGCAGCAAAAATTCATGAGGAAATTGGACGTGTGATTGGACATAATCGACTTCCTTCCATAAAGGACAGACAAGATATGCCCTATATGGATGCTGTGGTGCATGAAGTGCAAAGATTCATTGACCTCATACCTCTCAACGTACCCCATGCAGTGAACCGGGACATCCATTTCCAACAATATATCCTCCCCCAAAGTCAGTAGTCTTGGGAGAATGGGATCTTAAACACAATTTATTCCAATGATATCATCATGGACATGAGAAAATGGAGTCCCATTGTCATGATCTCACTTAAAGTTCTCCTTGAGGCAGTGCTTTATTACATACAGTCTACTTGCATGTGGTGCTAAATGAAGAATAAGAGAAAAGTGTGCCCTTATCTCTGTTCTTCCTGCTTCTCATTCACCACAGTAATGCTCTGGAAAGAAAATGTACAGGGAACGTAACAGGGTGAGGTTGCTCAAGAGAAATGTTTTTGTCCTTTTCTCTTACTAGGCAGTGAAGCAGAATGTATAAATACTATTATCTGTCCCATTGTGTAGATAGGGACATTGATTTTCAGGTGTAATGACTTCCCTAAGATCATTTAAGTGTTGGAGATGAGACTTGAACCTAGGTCTTTAGACTCTAAAATACTGCTTTCCGGGGTTGCTAAATAAACTGTGAATGAATTAAAATGAATTAGATTGAAGTTTCCTAGCAATGGCTGAGCAAAACTATACTCCCTCAAGGAAAAGTGAAGGGAGCATCACACCTAACTTCACATTTAATGTACCCCACTGAGGCACTGTTTAGTTGAAATCATGAAGGCTTCAGTAAGAACTTACCATGTGAAATTTGCTAGGCCAAGGTGCTATTGAAACAAGGCGAGAATAGAAGGGTTTTTGACCATTGAAGACTTTGGCTTGTGCAGGAGGGAGCTGAGTTTGGAACCAGAAAAGTAAGCCTAAAGTATTATTTCTTTCCTTCAGACCCAAGCTGTGATTTGATTGGCAAAGTGGCTTCTTGCTGAAGGAACTCCCTCAGGAGGTAGCCTGGTCTGCCCCTAGAGTTTTTAAGCATTGCCTGGGCCACTGGCCATTGACATGTTCTGCCCAGAGTCCCACAGGCAGCAGGTGCACACATGATGTATAGACCAAAGAACTGAGGGTAGGGAGAGCACAAAGAGCTTAGCACCTCAGCCAAGGTTTCCTGTAAGAGGGGTTACCCAGGCCAATCCTTGAAGAAAGCTGAGGAATCTAAAAGGCTGAAGTGAGCAAGGAGTGGCTTCCAGGTGTGGGACATGGTCACTATAAAGGCATGAAGACCACAGATGGGGCTTTGTGGATGGGGAACAGCAGCTGGACTAGTTCAGCTGGAGCCCCAAGGAAGGCTTGATGGGGACAATAATGGGGACATCACTCTGGAAAGCTAGACTGGGGCCTAAGCAGATTCTTAATGGCGTGACATCTCATGCACATGCAAAGAAGTATGCATTTTGTACTAGAGAACATAGTGAGTCTCTGAAGATTCTTGGGACAAGACTACAAAGGATATTCGTAATGATACCTAACTCTCCTCTGGAATTTCTTCCGGTTTAGGGCACAACAATATTCCCACTGCTCACCCCAGTGTTGCATGACAAGAAAGAGTTTCCCAAGGCTGACCAGTTTGACCCACAGCACTTCCTGGATGAGAACGGGAAATTCAAGAAAAGTGACCACTTCATGCCTTTTTCTATTGGTAAAAAGAAACCCTTCTCATCTCTACCTCTCACCCTAAAAGGAGAATCCCATTCTCTCTCCCACTCTCCTCTGGCTGAGCCTTCTCCTGGCAGTTCTTCTGAAGACACATAGCCCACTCTGACATGACATACACTGTCTTTTCTAGTATTCCCGTGACCTGGCTTTTTCTCAGAGCCCTGAATAGATGAGAGCCTCTTGGCTGGCTCACCTGCCCTCTAATTCCATTGCAAGATCCACTACACAAGGGGTTACTGTGAGAAGAATGTTGTGAAGAAGGAATTCCTTCCTTCTCCTTATGGCCATTAATGGTTGAATTATAACTAATAATAATAGTTCTCACCATTTCTGCCCATATACTTATTTCTCTTTTACACCTTTTCCCATTATTGTGCTGGATCAGCAAGTCTGTTTCACTCTGGCTGACTGTGATATTCCATGAAGATTACAAGCAGAATTCCATTTCTTTCTAGGAAAACGGTCTTGTGCTGGAGAGGGCCTGGCGAAGATGGAGGTTTTTTGTTCCTTACCACCATTCTACAGAACTTCACTCTCAAACCAGTTGGAGATCCAAATGAAATTAGAGTAAAGCCCAATTATGTTGGATTCAGCAACGTTCCACCACATTACCAACTATGCTTTCTTCCTCTAAGAAGAACACAAAGTTGATTTGGTGAATTAGCAAGCTGGTTCATCTTCTGTACTGAATACTCTCATGTGTTTTTCTGGAATCCCTTTGAGGGAAAGAAAAATTCCCACATCTTGATTAAAATGAGTTTTAAATTTCAGAGACATGACAGCCTTGTTGAGTATCTTGTATGTCATTATATGCTGGGGCTGCATTATAGACATTCATGTGCAACCCTTGAACCAATACAGGCAAATCCTCAATTCTAGATTTAGGGTGTGGAGGAAGATCTGTAAAATATCCCCCTCCAAACCATATTTGTTTGTACTTTTCTTTTCATGTTTCCTTCCAGATGATCCTATTTTTATTATATAGCTCTTGTTTGTGAATTTGGGGGAGAATGAACAGGGCTATGTTGCTAACAACTCCAGACATGCAAATATGTGTTTTTCCTTCCATACACTGAGGATTCATGACTTCAAAGAAAATGTGGTAACAGGGAAGGATTCCTGGCTTTGGGGGCAGAGGACCTGAGATCAATCCTGCCCCTAATGGTAACAACTTGTGTGGCCTTGGGCAAGTCACTTCACCATTTGTTCTCACAACAGATTCTTCACCTCTACAATGAATGGGTTGGATTAGGTAGGCTCAGAATTCCCTAATGAGTCTCCATCTATGATACTTTGATCAGTGGGGTGAGTCCATTCATCAGTGCTTTAGGTCCTTACTGCATTTCTCATTTCACTTTCCTCCTTTCAGCACTGAGCCAGTTCAACTCAACTTGCTCTCCACTTTCAAATCCCACATCCCTTTGTCCCATGGGACATGCACTACTTTACTGAAAACTAGCAAGAAATTATTGCTACCACTTGCCTTCTCTGTTATTATAACCTTGCAAGTGAACACAGATCTCTGCCCCAACTGACTACCCTCTCCCTTCAGTATCTATTCTAAGATTACTCTTCTTTACTGGGGCCTCTCCTTTCATCTCACTCCTTCCCTCTCACCATAACACTGAACTTAATACATCACTAAGAAAATTGAGATTATGGATTGCTAATTTATTCTTTTCTAAAATTCTTTATTCTTAGTCATCTCTCCACCATCACACACAAACTTTCTTCCTTTTGTTCTAATATGGCAGAGGAACTGGAAAGAAAAAACAAGAAGGTAGCATCTCTTTTTCTAACCACTCACCCCACTACTTTGGCCCTTGCTCTCACCTCCCCCTCTCTCTGCTGAGATGTTTCACCCTCTAACCTCCCCTGTCTTTCCCTAATTTTCAATATTCTTAAATCCATTGATTCCTATCCTATTGCTTACTGTAAAATGCACTTCTCCCTCATCCTTAAAACAAAACTAATCAAAAAAATCTCATTCCCAGAGATTCCCTGGCTGACTCTTTCTGCCTATATTTACTCAGAACTTTTGTAACTTTGAAAAGACAAAGTATGCCTTTTTGAACATCTGCTGAGTCAACAATAGATTTGCTTCCACTTTTGCGAGGCTCAGGATATCTGAGTCCTGCATGACTGGCTTTTCATCTTAGAGGCACAAGAGTGCTGAGTCACACATGGCCAGCAGCAAAGCCACCTGGGAATCCTCTACATGCTCTGTTCAGTCTCAATTATATTGCCTTCATCTCTCTTTCTTCCTTTCCATGGCCAAACTCCTAGAAAAACTATCTACCTATTGGCCACTTTTTCACCTCTTTATGACCTCTTTTGGGCTTTTCTTGGACAAGATCCTGGAGCAGTCTGCCATTTCCTTCTTCAGCTTATTTAGTAGATGAGGAACTGAATCAAACAGGGTTAAGTGACTTGCCCAGGGTCACACAGTTAGTAAGTGTCTGAAGCCGGATTTGAACTCAGAAGGAGTCTTCCTGATTCCAAGCCCAGTCATCTGTACAACTATATACCTAGGTACAAAGGTAAATAACAGTGAGTAATCAGAAGGGACCATACAAGGATACAGTATTTACAGCTCTCACCTGTAGCCCCCAAGAAGCTGTAGTATGTGCTATGGCCAAATCCTGCTAAAACCATCTTGGCTGACCAGCTAAATCAAGTTGAGGGTAAGTGACAGGCCTGAAACCCATTTGTGACTTAGGGGATGTCAACCTAAAGCATATAGCGACTTCCCCTTGTGGAATGAGTGGATGAAAACAATTTATTCCAATGGCCATGAAGGCAGCTGGATCTTAGTCAGACATCAAAGCTGCCAAGGCCATTTAATATATCCTGTGCCATCACCAGTCTTCCTGACTTTTATCTTGCCCCAAACTTTTGCTGAAAGAGAGAGTGAAGCTGACCCCTTCATTTAAATATAATTCATGAATAAAGCAAGACATCACCCCAAGATGTCATTGGTCCTCTTCCAAAAGGAAGGATGAACAATACTTTACATGCTAAGAGGGAAAGATGCTGTAAGTCTCCTCTAACTCCTAATGCACTGAAAGGTCATAGAGGCTATTAAAGAAATGGAGGGCTTGAAAGTGTTTTTGTTATGTATTGATGACCACCAAGAAGAAAGAAAAAAGAGGGAAAGAGCAATACTCTAGGGAAAAAAGTGAGAGACTGATTGGGAATGCTTTATCTCACATAACTGAAGTGGGCAAAATAGAAGGTTTTATAGAAATGAGGAAAGAGTTTGGACTTCTGGACTGTGGTTTAAACTTGAAGGATGACAAGCTCCTGATTTAGGGAGAACATTCACCTCACATGGGCTAGTAAGGGGGTATATGACTGGAGTCTTTGAAATCTTTTTTAAAAGGGCTTTAAGTTGAAAAGGAAAAGGTTGTGGGGAAAGAAACCTACCTATGTGGTTTTCATATGCATTTTAAGTATAATGGGTAGCTACAGTTGGGAAGAATAGTAGCAAAATACACCTTGACATTGACAGCAGGCCAAGTCTGTGGAAAGATCCCCCAACAAATTTCATGGCCTCAGATCTCCAAAAACCAGTTCACAAAGTATTTGGAGCAGGCAAGGGGAATTTTTGATTCTCCAGGATGGAGGGAAATTTGACCTTTTTGGTATCAGCAAGACATGGAAGGATGAGATCCATGAATGGAATGAGTATACAGTATTTGAAAGGAAAAGGACAAAGCACAGATAAGGGGAAAGGTAAGGGTAAGTAGTAGCATGTGAAGAAATTCCAGAAAGAGGAAAAGCAAAAGGGGAGCCACTGGAATGAAGATCAACAGAGGGGAATATAGAAACAATATTATTGTTTTTACCTAGATGGAAAGAGGAAACAAGCAAGGAGTTAGGGAGAGGAGATATGAAATAATAGTGATTGGAGACTTCAAAAAGTGGACATCTGCTGAGATA